ACACACACACACACATTATGTGTATGTGTGTGTATATATATATACACACACACACACACACACACACATAATGTGTATGTGTGTGGGTTAGGGTTAGGGTTAATATATATATTACACATAGATGAGTCAAAACATGACCACCCTTGTGTGAAGCAGATACCTATCGCATGTCTGGGACATATTAGACAGTAAGCTTCAGTACTTCAGTACTTGGAGTCGACATGTTGAATGCAGAAATGGTCAGGGATAAAGATCCGAGCGACTCTGCTAAGGGCCAGATCGTTACGGGCAGACGTATTTAGAAACTACAGGCCATGGTGAACACCTACCGAGACGGTCCGGGAGGGAAAACCCACAATCCCCCAAAAGCGTGACGGGCTGCCAAGACTCCTCCATGCGAGATGTGGACAAAACCTGCTACTCCCTGGTGAAAGATCATTTTCTTCAGCTTCATCTTGGAGTTTCATACCGGCGCAAAATGTTACACGCTCATAAAATGCACTTTATGGCTAATTATTTAGCGCATGAAATTGAAATTCGGCATCCAATACCCCTGGCCTCACTGTGCTTTGCATGGTACAGACAGCTAGATAGCTAGAATGATTCTTTATGGGCCATAATTGCACATGAGTTAAGTAAACCTGTTTAATGCGAGACTGACAAACAGCTGGGCTCTTGTTTTATGTAACTGCATTAGAAAAATACAAATTATGTCTACTCTAAATAATTGTCCTATTTACTCTACAATGGTGATAACCTGAGCTCTTATGTAAAGAGTGCAACTAAACAAAGGAGCTTACACAATTTTGAAATGCCAAAAGCATTATAAGGACACCTGCTGTCTTTAAATCCATAAGAAAAACCTTGGAATACGCTGCGTAAATGATATTTTTCTGTAATGCGCCTAGGTTATCCAAACCATGGGAACACTATACAACGCATCATATTTATTCCAGCAGGCTTTGACATTTTGGAATATCTGGATTGAAAACCACATTTTTCTGCCTAAGTTTCTCGGATTTGTTTATAGTCTGCGGATCAGCAGATATCCGAGATTCAGGCCCTGCTCCCAAAAAGCTCACAGCACAATGCTGGGCTTTACGTTAGCAATAGGCTCTTGTAGGGTTCCATTCTTTCAAATATAAGCCTTGTTGCATGGCAACAGAATTACAGTAGCTATTGGGGTTTATTTCCTAAAAGCAGGGACTCGAGTGCTATGGTCACACATACAGCGTTTGTGTGAATATCAGGCTCCGCTGCATCTCAGACCTCCCAATTAGGATGCATCACCTGAGCATCTCATCTGAGCTTCTGAGCAAAGATCATCGTGGCAGAATGAAGCAGCCATTTTGGTATGAGGTTTTCAGGGATAGAGAACATCTGCTGTCCGTGCACTGTGATTCTTGGGGCGCCATACGGAAGGTTCTAGAGTTATCTTCCCCTCGGCGAACTGAGGGGCTCGTAAACTGCAGGCGGCACTCACCAACTAACTGCTGGTTCGGCTTTCCAATGACGTTCCTTCTGGTGTAACCGGGAATCCTGGGAAGGCTTTCTTGGGGTCTCATTTGTGATCCGTTCTTCTGCTGTTCCATGTCTATATTTGCTGTGTTTCGTAGCTGACAGCAAAACCTGTATACATCAATAACTTATTCTATGGAATTAGAACCGTTTACTTCTGGAAAGAGACAGGATGCTAGATGAGCGAGATACGGAGCTTAAAGCCAAGAAATCGATCTGAAGGTGGCTCCTTTTGGTGGCCATCTTTGGTGGCCGCTTTGTCCTCGAGCAGCAGGCTTGACAGGCTGGTTATGATCGTCACTTCCTGAAGAGTCTCTGACGTGGTTTGTCCCATCGGTGGCATCAAGCCATGAATGACTGTCAGAGGCTTGGTGCGGGTTTGGATTGGGTGGGGGTGTCATCACACGGCGCAGGTTTCCAAGGAAACAAACTGCTTGGGTCTTGTCTGGATGCGTCGACTGCATGGTTTAAACACCAAGGAACCCTTGCGGTGTTGATATGCCATGGAGAGCTGCCAGCATTTGTTGGCGAGCCCCCCCCCCAGGGAAGAAGTGTTAAAGTGCACACAGAAGGATAGGGATCCCGCTATGGCCGTTATTCAGCATTAATACTCACCTGAACATGCAAACACCCCAGCAACAGAATAGAACAGTGACATTTCATTAATCCTCATGGGGAAATTCTTTTCAGCTACTCCTGTGACGCAGCCAGCTTGCAGTACCCCTGGTGCTGGAGGTTAAGGACCTTGCTGAAGGACCCATGGGCATCTAACTATTCTGCAGAAACCAGGCCTCAAACCAGCAACCTTCCGATCACAGGCACAGAGGCTTAGCCCGCTGAGCCACACACTACCCACAAATTTTAATAGAAAAATTAGACAGGATCATTTCTTGGCATATTAGGTTGTAATTTTGTGTGGCTCAGTAGCTTAAGAGGCCGTGACTATGATCAGAAGGTCGCCGGTTTCAATCATAGGGGCGGCAGATTGATGTTATCACTTTGGCCACTTAACCCCCAGTTGATGCTACCACAGAGGCTCTTAATCCACAATTGCTCCAGGGGGGGGTCTGACCCCAATTTCTCCATTGTATGTCTTCTAAAAAAAAAAAATGTTAATGTAGATCTGTTTGGGGGGGGGG